CCAAAGGAGATATTATCACAGCAGAGAGCCCCCACAAAAAGACCTCAGGCAGCATTGCCAATTATGGGCCTCTTCTATTTTCAGAGACTGTTTACAGGCCTCTTTTCTCTACCCTGAGTCTGAGCGAGCCTGTGTGTGTGTGTGTGTGTGTGTGTGTGTGTGTGTGTGTGTGTGTCCTGGAAGCTAGGGTTGGTGACCAAGCTCCTAACAACAGCAGATACAGCAGATGCTCACAGGGATAGTAACTTTTAAGAGCTCTGAGCCCAGCCGGGCATTGGTAGCACACGCCTTTAATCCCAGCACTCAGGAGACAGAGGCAAAGGATCTCTGTGAGTTCAAGACCAGCCTGGTCTACAAGAGCTAGTTCCAGGACAACAGCCTCCAAAGCCACAGAGAAACCCTGTCTCAAAAAACAAACAAACAAAAAAAGAGCTCTGGGCCCAAAGTCTTATGACGGCCTGTGTATGTAATCCTCAGTATAAATTAAAACAAAAAAAAAATCAAACACTACCAAGCCAAGAGCAGAGGAAAAACAACCTGCCCAACAGAAGAGTCAAGAAACTCCTATTGGTGTCTTCCTTTGGGAGAGCCATAGGCTGCTGGGGAACAGAGCTGGGACAGGGCCCCCTATATCCTTTAGGGGGGTATTTGTTTGTGATACTTTGGTTGGTTAGTTTTGGTATTTTTTGCCATATTGGAATTAGAACCTCAGGCCCTAGCCATGCATGGTGGTGCACGCCTTTAATTCCAGCACTTGGGAGGCAGAGGCAGGTAGATGTCTGAGTTTGAGGCCAGCCTGGTCTACAGGGGTGATTTCCAAGACATTTGGTGCTATAGAATGAGACCCTCCCTGTTTTAAAAAAGAAGAAGAAGGAGAAGACGACGGAGAAGCCTGTCCCTTCACTATGCCAGCAGCAGCCCTGAGGCAAATCCTCCACACTATTTCTTTTTCTTACTCATTTAATTCACTTTACATTTCCGAAGTCCCAGTGATCGAACCTAGGACCTCAAACATGCTAGACAAATGCTTGCTTAGAAGGTAGGAAGCCCTGGGTTTCATAGTCTTGCTAAGTGCAATGACTCACACCTGTAATTCCAGCACTTGGAAGACAGAGGCAAGAGGATAAGTACAAGTTTGAAGCCAGCCTGGGCTTCATCAAGAGATCCAGGCCAGCCAGGGCTACATAGCAAGACCCTGTTTAGAAAGAAAAAAAATAAAGCTAACCCTCTATGACAAGTCTTTTATCATTCTTGGCGACATCAAGTATCCCTTGACCTTGGTTTCCCTCCCTTTCTCTTCTTGCTAAGCTTTGGGAATTTACATGCTGGGACACATACTATGAAAGATCTGGAATCGTCATGGACTAAGCTCACCCCAAGGGTCAGGAAGACCACATGAAAAGTTGGTTCCAGCACAGGGGGATCCACCAGCAACCTGGCTTTGTCCCCATTCCAACCTTCAGAGTCCAACCCAAAGAAGTATCCAGTGAGAAAACACATGAATACACATGGTTACATGTATGTTTCTGGTCTGCTCCCACATGCAGATGAGCAAGCATTTACACAGATATCTGCAAGCATATGTATAGAAACACAACTCACATGCACCCATCATGTGTCCATTTATATACATACCTCGCTGGGGGCAGGTCCCCAACATGACAGGGACACAGGAAGTTCCAGAGTTAAGCCTACTTGGTTCAAAGAAGCTTACTAGGCCCCTAATGCTTCTGGCCCTTTAAGTGTATCTAAAAAGTGTCAAGCTGGAAAAGGAGACACTCCCGGTAAGATGGATCACCCCTGCTATTCTCTGGCAGGAAAATAATCGCAGTCCCCCAGAAGCAAGGCACAGGGCCCTGGAGTTGGAGGAACATTAGGCAGCATACCACAGTCATCCTATTTGAACCCTTGGCCACCTAGGACATAGGGATTTTGCCTTTGCTTTAAGTAGGCTCAAGGAGGCTGACAGTCCTAAATGCAAGTGCCTGGTATCTAGAAGAGACAGAAATTCCCTTGAGAAGCAGGGGATAAATGAAGACATCAAGATCAATGGTGATGCGAGGAAGACAGACAGGCCCTGCGTACCAAAGACAAGATACAACAATCTTACATAGTTATTGGACTTCTCTGAGCTTTGATATCACCACCTAATAAATGAGCTCAATAAAAAGGGAACAAAGCAACCAGGTGTGATCGCTCATACCTATAACCCCACTATTCAGGAGGCTGAAGCCTGGGACAAAAGGCCAAGTGTGATGGCACATGCCAGCACTTGGGAGGTCATCCTTGCTTGTGTAACTAACTGCTAAGTGGTCTGGTTTCATGTCATCAGCTGTAACATTTTACGATGGATTTTGCCTTCTGCTTTTGCCTCTGTGGAGTTGGCCAAGTGCAGACAAAAAAGTATGCTTCTCCTGGACAGGTACAGACCTTTCTCCCTTGTCATAATTTCCTCAATAGTACAGTAAAATAGTTTGCATAGCATTTACATTGTATTAGGTAAATACTCAGAGAGGAATTAAAATATGCATTAGTACATGTGTAGGTTCCATGCAAATACATCTGTACAGTTTGGTATCTTCTGGTTGCCCTGTAATTAATCCCCCATGGACACCAGCAGATGACTACTTTATTTTATTCTACTCTATTTTATTCTTTTTTTTTTTTTACTTATTGTGAAATGGATCAAACTTGGGTTTTTATGCTGGGCAAGTATTCTACCACTGACCATAACCCTATTCTTTGTTTTTATCATTTACTTATTTAGACAGGATCTTACTATGAGGTTCAGGCTAGCCTCAAACTCAAGATCCTCCTACCTCAGCCTCCTTCGTGTTGTCATACACTGCTACACCCGGCCAAGACAACTGTATTATTGTTAACGTTCATGACAATATTGTTTACTTGTTACTATCCCAATTTTAGAACAAAAACTGAAAACTCAGACATGTTAAAGTCACTTGCCCAGAGTCACAAGCTTTGAGTGAGTCGTGAGTGGGAAGGTGAAAAAAACCAAAGCTGTCTGCGGCCAGAGATTTGTCTGCCATAGCACTGCCATAGCAAGCTTAAAGCAGATGACTGGTACAGCAAAGCATGCTGGGAGATGAAGGAGCAGGTAATCCCCACAGGCAGCTGGACCAGGACACAGAGGTGGCATGCATAATAACATGCACTTGGGTTGCTCAGTGTAAGCCAATCAATGCAGCCAAGCCTAAGCTAAGCATTCAAGGGGCTGGACCCCAGCGACAGAGTTCTTCCAGGCTGAAGAATCAAGCAAAGGTTCTGTACTGGGAGAAGCCTTGCCAAGTCAGGGCTGGTGGTGACCAGGTATACACTGGAGAAAGAGGGCAAACAGAAAAGGTTCACATGAGCATGAAAAGCAAAAATTGGTAGGACTCTGGCACAAGCAATCCAGAAAGTCACCAGCACTCTCTGAGTGGGTTTTCACTTAGGATATCCAAATTCCACCGAGTAGGCTGCCCATGGGTTCCCTCCCGAGTGAACACTTGCTATTCTGGCTTCACACTTGCTATTTCTGCTGATAAGAGTATGGCTGTCTCTATCTCATCACTAGGTCTCAAATGTCACCTCATCAGGAAGCCCTCCCTGTCGCCTTCAGGCCGTTGTATCTCCAGCATACATCACCTGCTAGCACCTTACACATTTCTTTTCTTGGGTGTTAGTTAGAACTTCAGCCTTCTGAAGCAATCCTGGGTATGGCCTGTTTCTTCATTCTGTCATCTCTGGCTGGAATGCCAGCTCTCTAAACAGAGATCACGTCTGCCTCGTGCAGGCACAAGTACCATTATCTGCCTCGTACAGGTGCATGAAGCAGGTGTCGGAAGCAGGGCCTGCCCGCCATGATAGCCACCATTTATTATCTTGATTTACTCCCTTTGGGGAGCATTGAAGGGACACAACAGGACCAAGGGTCAGAAGTAAGAAAGCTCTCTCCTAGGAGTGGGAGAGCTTTCTCCAGTGTGCCTCCAGGCTGTCGTGTCTGAGGTGGTGAGAACTATCCAGAGGGGACAGACAGGTCCTAGGCAGGAGGCAGAAGCAAAGGTTAAAAATGAGAAAAGGCAGATACACACCTGGGGTTGGGGGTGGAGAAAGACAAGAAGGCAGAGGGATATGAATGAGCCTGGGGGGGCTTGAGTCTTGTGAGAAGGGAAGTTCACAGGGAAAGGAAGCTGACCCAGGGCAGGGGTGACGGTGGTGACAGACTGTTTGTGGCGGCATACTTGTTGAGGGTGTGAATAATGCCTGTCTGCCCAGACTAACAGAGTCTGTAAGAACACAGGTGGCACAGGGGACTTACCCTCGGGACAGCATCTCCCTGGAGGAGTGGGGGAAGTCACAGGCAAAGGGCGACGGGGGCGGGGCCAATCGAGTGGCACAGCTGTTCAGGGATCCAGACAAGACCTTCAGGAAGAATATTCTGGTTCGCAGCCACTTCCTCCTCCAGTCTGTCAAACCTATGACACTATGAGGACGAGCCCCTGGCCTGCAAGTCTCCGAAGGAAGGACAGGTGGGGCGGGGCTGGCCCGAGACCGCCCACCACAGTCAAATTCTCCAGAGACCCAAGGCTGTTCAGCAGGCTTCAGGCCTGCCAGGGCCTACTTCTCTTGGAAGGGGAGGAGCCACCTGCTGTTCCACCTGGAGCTCAATCTGACAGAGCAGCAGGAGGGCGGGTAGGGGCAAAGACCAGGAAGTAACTCTAGCCAAGGGACCGCCCCAGCAGAGTACCTCTCAGACTCTGGAAAGCGGAGGCTGAAGGGAAAAGCCTTGAAGCCCAATGCTCATAGGAGCTTTGTGAACGCGTCTCCCAGAATGCCAAGAAGCCCATTTAGCCTCCTGCCTGGGAGGAAAGGGGCTCTCAAGAGTAGGGCTGGTCCCACCCAGCGAAGAGTATAGGAAGGACCTAAGGGAGGGCAAAGGCCAGAAGCAGTCCGGTAGCAGCTAGTGGGGATAGCCAGGACGACAAATGACTGACAGGAAATAAAGTTTAGTCACAAGCACATTTATTATCCTCTGGAACACAGGGTCTTCTTCCCTAGCAGTGGTACACAGACAAGAACAAATCTCAGGAGGCGGCCACACTGCTTCCGGAAGCTGGCCCATGGGGTGGCAGTGTCATGGGTGGCAGGAACAGGGCCTTTAGCTTGCCGGACAGGCTGGCGATCTCAGGATCCTGGGCTTCGTAAGACTTGACTAGGCGGGCAAACTTAAGGACACCTGCAAGAGAGAGCAAGGACACCTGCTGGAGAGCAGTGTGCCAAGGCAGGGAAGGGGTTCCCTATAGTAGGAGACTCCATACAGCCAGGCAGCCATCTTCAAATAGGACAATTCACACTGCTGTCCCACACGGCTCCAATCAACCCCCACCCCAGTTTTCACTAGGCACAACTGGATACAATATGGAAAAATGTCCTAAAGCATCCAGGCATGGTGCTTTAATCCCAGCACTTGAAAGGCAGAGGCAGGTGTCTCTCTGAATTCAAGGCCAACTTGGTCTACAAAGCAACTTCTAGGTCAGCCAGGGCTACACAAAGAAACCCTGTCTCAAAAAAACAAAAATGAAAACGAAAAATTCCTAAAGCAGAGTGTTTTTTCACTCCCAAGTGAACCATGTTAGGTGCTTTGTCTCAAGCAGCCTAAATATGAATGAGATCCCAGGTCTACAAGCAGTCCCTGACCAAATCAGTCAATGAACACATGTCCTTGGGAAGAGAGCGCTCAAACCTATTAACCAAAACGCCTGGCAGGAACTGCAGAAGCCTGTTGCCAGGTAGACAAGAGTTCAGGTGACTCGAGCCTACTCAGAAGGCTGATAAACGAGGGTCTCAGGTCCAAGGCCAGTCTGGGACCTTAGGGGGACCCTGATTCAAAGAGCTGAGTAGAAATAGCTCAGTGGTGGGGAGCTTGCCGAACATAAGGCCTTGGGTGATTCAAAGGCCGGTACTTTAAAGAGAGAGGGGGCCAAAAAAAGAAAAGCAAAGCTCAGGATAGGCCCTGAGCTCTGAGTGCCAATGTTTGATTTGACTGCCGCCCTGTGGCGAGAAAGAGGTCGACGACTGGGGGGGGGGGCACTGATCATGAGCCCTACCCCCAATGCATCCCATACGCCATTCCATGTGGGACCCACCTTCCCCGTCGCAACTAAAGCCATAGGCTTTAATAACCTCCTGCTGGATCTGTGTGGCTACTGGAAGCACGAACTGCAGCATCTTCCCCATATCGTTGCACGCATTGTCTCTAGCCTCGTCCATGCGCACCGCATTCTCTGGGGCCGAGAACGCTTGAATCACCTCCGCTAAGACCACTGAAACACGGAAGCATCCCAGCGAGGTCCGTGGAGCGTGGCGGGCGAGCCCAGAGGAGGGAAGAGGCAGAGAGTTAGTGGACCG